TCTCTCTCCCACTTGCTCTCTCTCGTGCGCTCTCTCTCTCTCTCTCTCTCTCTCTCCCACTTGCACTCTCTCGCACTCTCTCTCTCTCTCGTGCGCTCTCGAACGCGCTCTCTCTCCATCTTACACACACATTCTCTCTCTCTCTCTCTCTTTCTCTATCTCTCTCCCCTCTCTTTCTCCCTCTCTTGTTCTCACTCCCCTCTAATTAACGCAGACTGTGAGCGAAACATTCGTGTAACCTCCCGCCTTGTCGCTCCGCCATGATGCCTCGATTTGCTTCACAGACGCCTTCCCGCCTTCACTTCCGCAAACAATGTCACGCAGACGCCCTGTCAGCACTTGGCGTTCCGCAACGGCATCACTTCCGGTTGGTCGTAGATCACAGCGCCGACAGTCGTCGCCGGCAATATCGTGTCGTCGGCGTTCAGCCGGTACGCGTCGCCGACGACAATGTCAGAATCGCTGCTGATCGTGTCCGTGTCGGTCCACTTCACATCGTGAGTGCCGCCCTCTGCCTCGGCCTCGTCCGTCTCCTGGCTGCCCTCGCGCACCGCCCGAAACACGTTATCCGGCATCGTCGTCTCGCCGCTAGATGTCGCGGCGGACGTGGCGCCGTTCAGCAGACGATGGCGCATGATGGAGGCGCTATCGGACAGCGTCCGATAGGTGACCTTCTTACGGCGAGGGATCGAGGAGAGACCCTGATCGCTCACGGCCGTCTTGAGAGTTTTTTCCGCCTTTTCTACGGGCGTGTTCGGCTCGCTCTCCGTGACGATCTGAGCGCGGGCCGGCGGTTTGTCCGTCACGGACGATCGGTCGAAGTTTTTGATGATCGGTTTCAACACGATAGATGGCGCGCTGGAATTATGCTGGATCTGGGGAACCTGAGGTGGAGATTGCGTCGACTTGCGATCTTCCATGTAGAGATCTATCAACATGTCCAGCTTGCTTTCGATCTCTTCCACCTGGAAAAATAAAGCGTGCCAACATAGTGTATACGCGTAACAGACAAGAATTGCGCCCCGTATTACCGCGCAACTATGTGAAACGGTAACGAAAGTGTTGCGTACGGCATCAATTCTAATTCAAGTCAACATTTTCCTACGCTAACTCGCATATAAATAAATACTCGTATATGAATTCACGCATTATAATACTCTCATATAAAAACCCATAGAAGATGAATACTCGCATTAAAAATACTCGCATATAAATACTCATAGATAAACACTCGCACATAAATACTCGTTGATCAACACGAGATGAGTACAGTAATTGAAACAGCGAAAACGTTATACGTACGGATCTTTCTACTTTGACGACTCTGGAAGCGAGGCTGATCTTTGAGTCATACACATCTCGTGCTTTTGAACCCTGCTTGCCAAGGATTTGATCTAACCTGTAAGAGTAGAATATATATATATATATATATATATAGGGACATGTGTGAAGAAGAGGCCTGGACAGCCTCTACGGGGCACAGCTCGACTGAGCTACCCCACGGGGATTTAGCTTTGTGGTTTGTTGTTGCCATTATAAATGTATGATAAAAATTGTAAAAAAAGTTTTGTTTAAGAAATTGCTACACTAAGTTAGCAATGAATTCCGCAAACTGCGCAACCTAAAGGATAAGCTTCGAAGGTACGAGACTCACAAATCTCAAGACCCGTCAGTGCTCATTTTACATGCGACAACCACACCGCAGCGGATTTTCAGTGCAGGGGCATTGAAAAAATATTCTCGGACCCCACCGAACATCCACACACGATCCGCAACAGAAAGAAAAGAGAAGCCTATTGGATCCACAATCTAAACACCATCCAACCATACGGACTCGACCTACGGGTCGAAATACCGGGATGGATAGAAGATCATCACAATAACCCGGCCAACATGGAATCAACGGAAAGCTTTCCCTAACCAGACGACCCCAGGGTAGCGAGCATTTCGATTCACTTTTGAACACATTTATATATATATATATATATATATATATATATAGTAAGTAGGAGTACAATATGCTATATATTTATAATGCATCTTATACATTTAGGACGCCGGTGAATTGCTTCTCTGCTTGGTCGGCCTTAGCCGTAGTCAATTATCTGACTGAGCTATAATAGCGCGTATACTGGGGTGGTTTGTGCTGCCTGTGCGCGCCCCTGTCTGCGTGTTGTCCTGTGCTTAGCTGGCTTGGCTGTAACACCAAAGGCTGCCTGCTACTGCTGACTGCATGCTCTGGTCACTCTTTGGCTGATGCTATGTCTCGCTGACGGCGCCTACGGGTCTTTGAGTTTGAGCCGCCTTTCCCTTATTGCATAACCCTTACGACTGCTGACTCCCACTGGCTTACATTCACCCCTGCTTCTGCTGTCAGCTGTAGACTTGGGTGCGTGAGTCTCGGGGTGTTATAGTAATGGGAGCGAAATGTTGAGTGTCGCCAAGAATACATTTATTGTATTACCGTAACTATGTCGTGAAGGTAGTTCTATAAGGTTGTTAATCTGATACTAGGGTGGCAAATGGCCGTGCTGTACTGCTGCTTACTTAGGAATTTACTGTATGCTGGCCTGGCTAGGGACTTTAAATCGGAACTGCTGCCGTAGCTGATGCTGCTGCGGGTTGTTGTAGCCTGCTGTGCTACTGCTGGCTGGTGCGGGGCCGGGGGGGCGGCGGGTGTGGCTTGCGGCTGCTATGGTGCGGTCTGGCTGTTCTGGCTTCACTAGCTGCCGGGTACGGTCGCTAGCGTTCGGCTAGGCTGCTAGGCCACTCTCGCTATGCCTTGCGCTCTCTCAAATTGGGATGTGTAAGATGTTATAATGCATACGATTAGTAGATTATTATTGGGTCTCGCTGACTGCTGCGCGTTGAGAGTAAATATCTCAGTCTCTCTGCCTCTCTTCATGCGTTGCCTGTGCCTGTGGCGTGCTGACACTGCTGCTATTGCTGAACTTTGGCACTGCTGTGCTATCTGGGCGGCCTGGCTACTGCTGGCCTACTGAACTGCTATCTGGCTATAGTGCTTACTGCCCCCGTACGCTTAACTGCTGCTGCTGCTACTAGCTGCTACTGCTCCATGTGTACGTGAGCTGCCGCGTCCTACTGGCTGCTGATTAGCTGTGGTCTCGCTTCGTCTGTGTGTACTCTCTTTTCTCTCTCTCACCCCTCTCTCTTCCTGCTCTTCTTCCTCTGCTCGTCTCCTCTCTCGTCTCTGTACTTTTTCTCGTCTCTCGCTCTTTTCATCTTCTCATCGTATGCTCTCTCGCTTTCCTCTTTCCTCACTTCTCATTCTCGGATTCTGCATTGCTCCTCTCCATCTTCTCTGTGTCTCCCTTGGCGTTCATCTCGTTCATCAGTTCTATCTCTCTCCCCTTCTCGCCCCCTTACTTTATTGCTCTCCCTTCTCGGCCTCTCCCCGAGCCATCTCCTCTTCTCTTTCTTTTTCTGGACCTCGCTCCTCTTCTCTCTCCCTCTTTCCGCTCTCCCGCCTCTCCCGCTTTCACCTCTGCTCTCTACTGAATAAGAAGACTCGCCCTGCTGGCTGCCACGTTTCTTCACGCTTCGTGCTCGACGCATGGTCGACAGTGACCTGCGAACTGTGACTGTCCTTCTGCGCGATGGACGTCTTCATTGCGTCATACCGTGCAGCGGCCTCGCCGAAACTTCTTCAGTCTCTCTCTCCTTCGGGCCGCTTCCCTCGTACTACTGCCATGCTTTCTCAGTTGCTCTCTTCCTCTCTCTCTCTCTCTCTGTCGTTCTCTCTTCTCTTGTCCTGCCTCTCCTCTTCCCTTCTCTCTCGCGTCTCCTCTCTGCCTCGTCCTTCTCGGCTCGTCCGTTCTCTCATCTCTCTCTCTCTCGTCTCTCCTCTCGCTCGTTGGCGTCGTCTCTCCGCTCTCTCTTCTCGCTCTTTGCGGTCCGCGGCTCCTCTCTCTACGTCCTCTCTCTCTGCCTTCTGCTGTTGCTCTGCCTGCGCTGTCTGCTCCCGGTGCTTAACTTGGTCGCTCTCTCTCTCGTCTCTCCTTTTCTCATCCCTCCTCTCTCTCGTCTCTCTCTCTGCTCTCTCCCTCTGCTCGCTATCTTCTCTCTCGTGCTCTCTCATTCCGTCTCTCTCTCTCGGTCGCCGTCTCTCTACTCTCTCTCTCTCTCTTCTCTCTTCTCTTTCTCTTGGTCGTTCTCTCTCTCTTCTTCTCTCCTCTCGGTCTCGTCTCTCTGTCTCTTTGCTCTCCCTATGGTCGCTCTCATCTCTTTGTCTCCTCTCTCTTTTTCTCTCTTTCGCCTCTGTCTCTCGTCCTCGTCCCCCATCTTTCCTCCTCTCTCGCCCCCTTTCTTCCCCCTCTTCCCCCTATCTGCTCGGCCTCTCACTCTCTCTCTCCCTCTCTCCCCTTCCTCGCGCCTACTCTGCTATGAATAAGAACTACGTGCGCCTTGCCCTGCACCGTTTCTTCACGCGTGCCTGAGCATGTCGACGTGACCTTGCCGGAATTTACTGCTCGATGACGTCGTTCACGTCATACGGGTCGCCAGCGCTCCGCGAAAACTTGGTCGACGTCTCGCACGAAGTAGTTGATCGCGTTGCGGTATCGCACGTATCGCACCTTGTGCGAGTGGAGGTCAGCGGCTCAATTATCTTACTGCTTCCTTCGGCGCCTGTCGGGCAACTGTATAATGACGTCCGTACGGTCCAATTCAAGCTGGTCTGATACTTACGGTATCAGTGTCGATATGATAGATATATTAGTCGTATTACTAGTAGTCTATGATATGAGTCTATATGTAGGCTATGTCGTATTGAGTCTTATAAGTATAGTCTATATAATAGTTAGTGATATAGGTCTTGATGATATAGTCTGATTTGATATAGTCTATGACTATAGTCTATGATATAATCTTAATATATAATCCGTATAATATAGTTATAATATAGGTCTATAATATAGTCTATAATGATAGTCTATTATATGTCTGATGATACTAGTCTATGATATAGAATGCTATGAAATAGTCTATAATCATAGTCTCAGTTGATAATAGTGCTAATGATATAGTCTATGGATATAGGTCTATGATGATGAGTCTATGATATAGTCTATGGATATAAGTCTATGCATACTCAGCTCTACTAGATATAGTCTATGAATATAGTCTATTCATATAGTCTCATGGAGTATAGTCCTATTAGTATAGTCTATGAGTATAGTCTATCGACGATAGTTCATGATATAGTCTATATATGACACTCCTGACGTCATTTCACTAGAGCGGGGCGTGACGTTTGGTTTTCTGGCGGCGGTGAGCAGAGGCGTGGGGCGCGAAGTTTAAAGGGAATTTAATTATCGACCGGAGATGTTTCGCCGGATGATTTGCGAAATAGAAGTCTCCGGAGCCGAGAATCGAGGGACGCGAAAAAAATTGGAGATCTTAGTATACTTAACGGGCTAACTGAGAAATTGCTGATTTTACCTGAGATTAACTGGGACGGGCTGACGAGAAATTTTCTGTGACAGAGTATTTTGCCCGTGGCCTTTGCCCTGTGCCGTAAGAAAACTGCGTGTGTGTGGTATACAGTGCAAGCGGCATAGAACATAGAAAATTCGTCGGCCCACCGCATTAAAAGCAGTCCCACTGCCTTGACATGCCATTCTACTGGCTGCTGCTGTTGCTACTGGCTGCTCTGCCTGTGATACTGTCCCTGCGCTGTGCTTCGACGGCTATGTCTGTGCTACATAACTACAGAGATTCAACTCCTCGCCTACCTTGCTTATACTGACTACTGCTACTGGCTACCTGTTTAGACTAACTGACTGCTGCCTACTGTCCCTCTGCTGCTGCTCGCTACTGTTGGCTCACTACTAGTTCCGTACCTGCTGCTGCTTGCTATACTAGCTACTGCTCATGTGCTACTGGCTTGTGCTCTGCTGTGCTCTTCGTGCACTGCTACTGCTCTGACTTGACGCCTGCCTGAGCAACTACTGGATGCTACGTGCTGTTGCCTCGCTGCTTGCCTGCTGATCTTACCATTTACTGCTGCTGCTGCTACTACTGCGCTGGATACTGCTGAATTTGATTGATACGGAGCGTGCTGCGCTGTTGCGGGGTGGTAATGAACTTGGTGCTACTACTACTACGCTACTGCTTTTACCTAGACTGCTTGTGTGACTACTGCTGTCATAGTACTTGCTACGTTAGTGGGCTGCTGCGGCTATGCTCACTGTTCTGCTTACCTGACTCTAACACTCGTTGATAACTGTTACTGCTGCTTAACTAGAACTAATCCCTGCTGCACTTCTGACTGACTGTGACATGTGCCATTACTAACTACTACTACGTGAGCTCCTGTCTGCCTTGCTTGCTTACTGTATAGACTGATTGCCTATTGCTACTGCTATGCTCTAACTCGCTGTTAGTATTAGATGATCGCTTACTGCTTGCTACTACTACTACAGGCTGCCTGCTTGCTGATTGCTACTGATGCGTGTCAATTTAGCTTGCATGGCTGCCTTACTGCTGCTGCCTTAGCTCGCTTATTCTTCTACTACAGGCTGCTGCTGGCTGTTGCTACTCGCTTGCTACTGCTTACGCTTGCCACTACTGCTGAATGCTACTGCTGCTACTACTACTTTACAGCTGCTGCTGCTGTTGCTACTGCCTGCTACTGCCTACTACTAACCTACAGCTGCTGCCTGCCTGTGTGCGGGACTGCATGCTATCTTGGCCTTAACTGACTGCATCTGCTACTATGTCACTTAGCTAGTGCTGATCTATGCTAACTGTAGTGTACTTCAATATTTCCCTCCCTTACAAAAGTTAACGAAATGCACAGCGCCAAACACACGCGACGAGCACACAGACACACAGACCAATAGCGCACGCACAACGCACATGCACACACACATCACACACACACACACACACACACACCACACACACACCACAGACAGCTGCTGCGCCGCTGCGGCGCACGCACGTACCTTTCTCGGCTATGGCTTTTGGCACTCTAGCTGCTCGCAGCCACATTCTCCTCTCCTTACTGAATTCTCCGAATGAATTAAGCTCTTATGCCTGCACTTCGTATGAGCACCGCTACCCTGGCCAAAACATCACGACCAGACAAGTCGTCGCAACCTCATGCTTGCCCCACTTCACCTTGGACTCACCACCACAGCGCACGCACACAGTGCAGACACACCCACATACATATCCACACGCACCAACCACACACAACGGCCATGACACTCCACTGCTCATTGAGGAACAACAAGTGTAATGAACGTGAAGAGCACCCGAAATCCGACAAAAAACTCTGAAAATGCGGGGCGTTCTAGGGGGGTTCACACTAGTCGCGACCCCTTGTCAGCGTTGCAAGGGGTTGATGACCCTTGGAGGGGGGGGCGGGCAAGGGCCGCCCGTGAGGTCCAGAGAAAAACACTCAATTTATAATTCCATGAGCTTCCACACCGGCTTCAGATGAAGGTAAAAAGCTCTAAAATCGCCTACGTTTAGCTGCATCCTTATTTCAAGACTA